TCTCAGAGGAGGCTCAGAACCCTTCCCAGGAGGAACAGTCGGAGGGCCTGAGACCCTCAGCCTGGAGAAGACAGTGTGGGGCCCAAAAGCTCACTTCACCATTATTTTTGAATACAGCCCTGAAAAATATATTATCATTTTAGAGTGAAGAGATTTTATTTACACCATTCAAAAGCAGCAGTTAAAAGGTCATCTAAAGAATGAAACAACAAACAAAAGAAACAGACTCAGATACAGTACAGAGATCAGACTGATAGTTGCCAGGGAGCGGGGGTCTGGGGGGCTGGGTGAAAAAGGTGGATGGATTAAGAAGTACACACTGATAGTTATGCTATGTGGAACTCTGTATGATGCCAGGTGGGGATCGCCTTGTAAATGATATGATTGTCTAACCACTATGTGTACGCCTGAAACTAATGTGAAATATTCTTGAAAGTCAACTGCCATTGGAAAGTAAAATTTTAAAAGAAAAGCCATCTGCCCTGGCTGGTTTGGCTCAGTGGTTAAAGCATGGACCCGCGGACCAGAGAGACCCGGGTTCGGTTCCCGCTAAGGGCATGTACCTCGGTTGCAGTTTGTCCCCGGCCCTGGTTGGTCGTGTGGGTGGCAGCCAGTCGATGTGTCTCTCTCACATCGATGTTTCTCTCTCTCTCTCTTCCTCCCTCCCTCCTGCTCTATCTGAAGATAAATGTGAAAGTGTCCTAGGTGAGGATAAAAAAAAAAAAATTAAAAGAAAAGGCATCACGAGGAAGTAGGAGTGGTAAGACATGCCCTAGGTTCCTCCGAGGGGAAGCCAGGCAGCAGCGGAAGTGGTTGGCCCAGCGTGAGAAAGAGCGTCCTCCTTGCGGGGGAGCAAGAACACTGCCTCCCTCGGGGATCTGGGCAAAGGTGCAGCCGCCGAGCAGGTGAGGGGGTCACACTTCCGCCGAGGACCGGACCAGGTGGGTCTGAGATCCCTCAAAACTGAGACTCATTCTGTGAAGCTTGAGTTACTGCCTTTTAATTAAAAACTAAAAGCACCTTTCCCAGGGCTTAGCATTCAATACCCTGGAGAGGGAGCCGAAGGAGTCCCTTTCAGTATCTGTGATCACAGTAGCTGTTGCAGAAAATCTTTTGGTAACATCTTCTATTTTAAAAAAATTGACGTTCACTCCAGTTTTGCCTTCTTTACAAGTTGTGCTGCTGAGAGAGTGCATTCGCAGTTTCCTTGTTACTTGGGGGGTGAGGGTTGATTTGTATTTTAATGTGACTAGATCTCAGTGTCTCAGATTTGACACTTTTTCTCCCCCTCTCCACTAAAGTCATTGAAATATATTCACCCAGTCATTCACATCAGAGGTGTAAATGGATTTCTGAAGGTTTGTTAAAAGACAATCAAAGCCCGTCACTTTGTGACTTGACTTCTTCAGGTGTTGCAATCGCAAGTATGCTAAAACTGTGTCTTGACCTTGAATCTGCAAGGAGGGGCAGAGCATGTTTTGCTAGACGTGTTCATCCACCACTTCTTGGTTTTAGCCATTTTTATAGAATTTACTTGGGAAAGAGAAAGAAGAGGCGATTGAATTGAGCCTTCAGAGCCTGATGGAAAATAACATGTTTATTTGACCTTCCATCTTCCAAAGATTGCTGCTGTTACAGTTTAAATTTTTAGGTCACCCTTTTTATCATTGATACTTGCAAAAACCTAACTTAAAAACAATAACAACAGTAAAGAATATATATGCACATGCATAACCCACGGACACAGACAGTAATGTAGTGAAGGGAGGCAAAGTGGGGTGGGAATGAGGGACATCTGTAACAGAGTCAGCAATAAAAAAAGCTTATAAAACAAAAAAAAATTAAAATTAAAAAAATTTCAATGTATCAGCCATGTCACACACAGGCTGTTTCTCAGTTTGTTTCATGTCATCAAAAAGACGTACTGGGTTTCAAGTTCCTCTCGGCTTTACTCTTAGAACATAACCCTGAGTAAACAGGGTAAGATTGCAAAGAATTTATTTATACCAATCAGGAACCCAGGCTCCGGAGTCAGGAAGCTAGCGATTGAATTTCCAGCATTGCCTGTTTTTATTTCCCTCAGTGTCTCTGAGTCTGTTTCCTTCCCTCGTCGATGGAGAAGTAATGGTACCTCCCTCACAGGGTTGCTGTGGATATCATATAAGGTAACATTCAGAGTCCTTGGGGCATCACCTGCCATAAACACTCAATAAGTGTTAGCTATTATCATTCCAGTAGTAATTCTTAGGACTTCACCGAACTTAACTGTGGAGCTCTGGTCTGGATTGAAGGCACCGCAGCTGACTCATTTCCTTTTACAACCAAAAGGCAGGTTTCGGCATCGTGTAACAATCCATTCTTAGTGATGAACTTGAACAGCCATTTTTGAGAAAATAATTAGAAATCTTGAATCCAGAATTAGAAAATGCATCCTATTTGCTAGGACATTTTTAATGTCTTTGGAACAAATCTCATCAGTCTTTGGGAGAACGACAAAGAAACTGTTGTGCGTGGGTGACTATCCACTAGAAATGTGCAGGCAGGGAAACCTGCATATCACAGTGCTCTGCCTTCGAGAATAGGGTCCGAGCTTCGAGCTGGTGGTCGACTCGAGACCAAGGTCACAGGGCAGCTCATCCCTGTGCACGTGCTCGCAGGGCTCCAGGACGCTGCTGGCGGCTCGGAGCGCTGCCCAGGGACCAGGGCGGGCGCAGTGGAGTCAGTGCTGGATTTGAACTTGGACAAACAGGCTCTCGAGTCCAGGCTTTGCCATTTATTTTCTGTGTGACTTTGGGCTGGTTGTTTGGCTCTTCAACCCAGTTTCCTCCCCTGTAAATGTGCCTATTTTATAACCTAACTCCTTCCAGAGGGAAGGGTCAAATTTTAAAATGGGCATAAAAATACTGAAGCAAAATACCATATTCATAGTACTGGTATTATTACTATTACTAATACCATGTCACTGTGGCAAAGAAAAATAAATGGGAACCAGGAAGAACATGGGTCTCTCTGTACTAGATATGATGGCAGTATGACTCCTTGAATACAAGACAAATGTCCCCAGAGTGGTGACAAGGCTCAATCTTCTTCCTGGGTGAAAATCCTTATCCTGTCACAGATAGCATCCCTTGTGTCTCAGAAGTGTTTTTAATGTTGTTGATATTCCAGAATTCACATTAATACAAGTTTCTGGGTTTTTTAGGTGAGTTGATAGGTAACAAAGGTAAACGGGTTAGGTTATAAACTAAGTCAAATCTATTTTTCATATACTAAATTATGTACCAACTCATTATACCCTGGCTTTAAGTTCTTCCACAGTGTGTCATTGTTGATTGTGTCAACTCCAAGCTCCTCCTCCTGGCCCACAAGGCCTTTGGTGATCTGGTCTCTGATTCTTCCACTTTATACTTTTCTGCCCACCCTGCTCAAGATTTTATAGTTCTTTGGATACCCTTTCCTCTCCTTGGAATTCTTGGCCCCTTTCTGCTGGATCAGTTTCCATTCATTCTCACAATGAATAGGACAGTGCTGGGCACATAAGTGGATGTTCAATAAATGTTTACACAAACTGACTTGAAGTGGGGTGGCTCCCACATAGACTGAGACAACCAGATACTTTTGTTTCCACATGGCCTTGTCAAGTTTGGAATTCCTACTGAAGTCTGAATATATTCCGTGTCATCGAAAGGCAATAATAGCTCTTATGAATTATTTTGGCATTTTGCATATGTAACTCTCCTAAATGTGCTGATGAGAACCTGTTTCATAGACACCGCTGGAGGTGATAAGCCATAATGCATGTTTTAGTAAACAGGTTAAAAAATATAATGCAAATTAAAATGTTGTATTCCCTATTGTCCATTGCAAAAGTTTGCACAGTAAAGAAGCATGTATTCTATTATTTAACAATAAAACAGGCTTGTGTATGAATATTCACATGAGTATATTCCTAAGAAAGTCATGATAGCAATGTTCACATAAGGTAGGACAGTCCCTTTTGGGTCACATGCAAAAGAATTTAGTAACTAATGACAGAAGAACTTCTTAAAGGACTTTTTTCTCAAAAGCAGTGAAATACTGTCCATAGATCCTGGCCACACACACTCACACAACACACACATGCACACAGACTCTTTGGAATTTTAAAGTACCAAGTAGAATTCATTAATAAAAATATGAAATGTGTTTTCTTCTATAAATCATAATGAAGTATGGAAAGAGAAAGGAAGAACTAAGGGATGAATAATCATCTCCTGCTCTTCACTGAAACATGTCAGTTCACTCCCAACCCACACATCTACTTTAAAAGAATTACCTTCAAGAAACCTAAAAGTTTGTATCCTGCCTCATCGACAACAGCCTCAAACTGTTCTTTGTCATCTCAGAAAACAAATCTTTTGCTCCTTCCTGCCTAGGGAGGCAGAGGGACCGAGGTGGTCCTGTGTGGCCGAATTAGATGAAAGAGCTGCCTTCCACCATGGAGACATGGAGTCTAATCAAGTGAAATGAGTTCTGAGATCCCAGCTCATTTCCTGGGGGAGATCAGTTCGCATTACAAAATCCCAGCATCTCATTCATCACCACTGACGCGGTCTTTGCTCAGGAGAGGACCCCAACTGGGACTAAACCACCTGTCTTCTCTTGAAAAGAGGCACTTTATCCAAGTTAGAGTTGAAAGCCTTGGAGTAAGACAGCTTGCCAGCTTCCACCGAGTAATACATATGCAACGTTGAAGGCAACTTAAGTTTCACAAAGGGAAGACCGAGTTTAAGGAAGATGGGCGGTTGTGGTTTTAAAGATGCCAGGTACGAATAATTGTAATAGAGGTGCTAAGCATTACGGTGGGGAGAGCCCAGATTGGGGCTCCCTCGCCTTTACTTCCTAGGTTTTATTGAAGGGAAGTGAAAAGGATACATTGCCACACATCAGTGTACAGTGGCAAAGAAAGTGTGCTGATTTCCATGCTGATAAATGACCATCATCTCTTTTATTTCTTTCAGGGCATCATTATAACGCCCCTGTTACTGCTGCTTTTTGTGAGTATTTTGATGTTGTCTTTAATATCTTTTATTAAAAGCCATCTACAAACCCTTGAGGAAAGGCCATTCAAAAAAATTGAAATTTGAATCCTTTTGTATGACTTTGCATCACATTTTGAATTGTTCTCCCAGTGGAACTGTACCAAGTAGTAGCATGTGGACCAAGATGATCTCTGAAGTCTCATGGTCCAAGGCTAGCATCAGGATTCAGTTAGTAAGCCTCCAGCTTCTGGCTAACTCATTAATTATTATAAATTAGTGACCTGTGGCAAATAGGCTACTCTTCATTTTCTCATTAGTAAAACTAAAGCAATTGCTAGTGACCCAGTATTTGACAGAAAGAACCGTGCATCCAGAACCAGCGGGAGCTGAGGTTCCAGGCTGATAGTAACTGGCTTCCTCACTTTGGGGAAGACTGCCTCGATTTTTTCATCTGTGGAATGGGAGACAATACCACCTTCCCCAGTCTGCCTCCCAGGGATAATGAAATGTGCTTTAGAAATTTAAAAAAAATATACAAGCTACTGGTTAACTAAACAAAAATTGTTTAGAAAATAAGAAATGCTAATTAACTGCTGGTACAGTTATTTCTTTTGGTACTAAGCATATGAAAATTAGATGAAAAATTATAATAGAAATTAATGTTATCTCATGCTGAGAAAAGCGTATGTAATCATGAGTCATACCTCAAATATGTTATGAACTGTGCATTTTTCATACTCGCATCTCCCAAACATAAATCACTCCACTCCTCACTGAAATGGAGTGGGGATGCGTTTCTGGGAGTGGGATGTAGCTGTTTAACTAGCACTATTTGTCAGTGAATTAAAACTATGGGGAAAATTTATTTAATTATAGTGTAATTACTCAAGTTGGAATTCAATTAGAGTAATAGAGTACGGGACTTCATTTCCTACAAGCTGTGGAGGAAGTGGAGCAAGAGAGATACTACTAAACAGTTGGATTCTGCATCATTCATGAAAGACATTACCTTTAAGTACAAAAAAGCTCAGCCATCTCTTCCCTTCTGAAATGCTAGCTTCATTCTGATGAAGTAAGAAGAGTCAGATAATCAGATGACTTCCCTCAGCCTCACAAACCTTGTTCATTTGGACTTCACCAATTCAGAATTTGCAGTGAGTCCACTTGAAACTGAAGTGAGCATTGATTTGCATTCGTTTGAAAAACAAGACTTGGTACGGCCTACCTGCTCACTAGATGTGAGGAACTAGGATCATCCCTCGGTGTTTCCAAGACCTGGCTTCACAATTTTCCAGCAGCATCCTCTGCGGGCACAGGACGAGGGCCAGTCTGAGGCCCCGCTTGCGTGGGTCAGAGGACTAGTCTAGAGCCAGGTATATGGTAAATGTATAGCAGATGGCTGCATAGCCTAGGTTTCCTCCATTGCAGAAGAAATGAAGAGCGGCATCTCTGACTCATGTGACTCTCTTGAGAAAATCCAGGGAGGAGTCATAGCTGCAGCTAGAAGGCTGGGACCTAGGATAGCACCTTTGAATATTTCAGAGGCTGGAATCTCTGGGACCTCTTTCAACTCATGACTAAAGAACTAGATGAGCCCAGCCGGTGTGGCTCAGTGCATTGAGCTCAGACCCACGGACTGGGAAGTCCCGATTGGATTTCTGGTCAGAGTACATGCCTGAGTTGAGGGCTCATTCTCCAGTAGGGGGCATGTAGGAGGCAGCTGATTGATGTTTCTCTCTCACATTGGTGTTTCTGTCTCTCTAAAAAAAATAATAATAAATTAATAAAAACATTTAAAAAAAAGAACTAGATGAGTACGTCCCCCCTCTCCTTCCCATCTGCATGCCACGGAGATTTCTCAGCTGGTTGATACTATTAGTGCAGGCAACATACTGTTGCAAGCTTTCCCCCACTCTTGGACCCATAGGCTTGTGAGCTTTAGTTGATTCAACATTTTAAATAATAGAGCGACAAGAATAGTGAAAGAGACCGCAAGACCCTTGACTTAAAAGTTTACTGCTTCCCCCTGAGCCAGCTGGGCTGTCCCAGTGGGTTCAGTGGCTTCATCACCTGCCACCAATAGATACTGTTATGCTGTGTGACTTTAAATCACACACACAGTATGCACACTCTTTTTCTCTAGGTTGTGATGCATTTTACAAACAGTGGGCATTACTTGGGTTACCCGGCCTCGTTCACCGAGCAGGACAAAAACCCAAGCGCTTAAAATATGATCACATTCCATAAAAGATGTAGTTTTTTTTATCATTATCCCTGTTATGGGTTGAGTGGTGTCCCTCAAAAAGGTATGTTGAAGACCTAAGCCCCAGTACCCCAGAATGTGACTTATTTGAAAACAGAGTCATTGCAGATATAATTAGCTAAGATGCAGTCATCCTGGTGTAGAGTGGGCCCTTACTCCAGTGCGACGGGCCCTTATAGCATGGTGTCAGGCTCACAGGGAGAAGGCCATGTCAGGTGGAAGCAGGGGAGGAGTGATCCGTCCGCAAGTCCAGGAGCAGCAAGGGTTGCTGCAGACTTCAGAGGCTGGAGGGGGTGGGGGAGGCGTCTCCCCCACAGATTCACAGGGAGCATGACCGCACTGACTTCAGACTTAATAGCTTCCAGAACTGTGAAACAACATATTTCTGTTGTCTTAAGCCACCCAGTTTGCACTGTTATGTTACAGAAGCCAAAGAAATTAAAACAATACCTGGAAATTGAATTGTCTTTCTTTAAATCATATCTTAAAAATGGAAATTTCTGTAAAAAATAAAAATTTTAAAAAAAAAAGCCCTGGCCGGTTTGGCTCAGCGGTTAGAGCATCGGCCTGTGGTCCGGAGAGACCCGGGTTCGGTTTCCGCTAAGGGCACGTACCTCGGTTGCAGTTTGTCCCCGTCCCTGGTTGGTCGTGCGGGTGGCAGCCACTCGATGTGTCCCTTTCACGTAGATGTTTCTCTCTCTCTCTCTCTCTCTCTCTCTCTCTCTCTCTCTCTCTCTCCCCCCCCCCACTCTATCTGTACAAAAAATGGAAAAATGTCCTCGGGTGAGGATAAAAAAAAAAAAAGGAAATTTCTGGATATTTAGTGACAGTAGCTAGTAAAGGCCATTTTTTGTTGATGGCATCTCAGCTCTCTGTATTCTTTTTCTTTTTCTAATTTTTATGTATTGATTTGAGAGAGCAATTGAAACATAAGTTTGTTGTTCTACTTATTTATGCATTAATTGGTTAGTTCTCTTTTGTGCTCTGACCAGAGATCGAGCCCACAAGCTTGGCGTATCACCCTAACCAACTGAGCTGCCTGGCCAGGACCTCAGTTCTCTGTATTCTTAACCTCTGCTCAGAATGTTCCTTCACCGTCTTGTTCTAGCTGAAACCTGTCTTCTGATTCCTATTTCTGCTGTAGGCATCTTTCATATCACCGAAGCTTTAAATGGAGGAAGGTGTCTATTTTGCATTTCCTTATCAATTCCAGATCATTTTCCATGACTTCTTCATAAAATCCCCTAATTCCTTTGAAGGTATTGTCCTACACCTGTACTCTCTGCTGCTGCTCCTTGGAATGATCTGTTGGCACCTACTGCCTTCTTTTTGACAGGACACTGATTCTGAGTGTTCTCGATATTCACATAGTTGATCCTCCTGGTATACTGGCCTCTAACTTCTTGACTTCTTCTCCAGTAAGATTGCCTTCCAGTTCATCTCAACCAACCTCCACTGTAGTCAGACCCTTGACTTTATTACTGCCAGTGACTGCATCCTTTCATAATCCTATTTCAAAAGCCTTCTCTTACCCATACCTTCTATCTTTGTGACTTATTCCTCAAGTTAAAAATTCTTTAAACGTACTAGAATGGCCAATGTATTTACCTTATCACCTTAACAAATCACCCACCCTACCTTCCCCCCCTTACCCTCACATCCCATCTTACCTAGCCTGGATCTCATAGTCCATCATTACAATTACTGTACTGCATACACTATCAACAACCTCCTCATCTCTTATTTCTTCCTATTTGGCGAAATGCCAGTCCTCCTTAAATTCAGCTCCACAGCTCTCTGTATATGTACCTGGACACAGCTGGAGCATGCTGGATCATGCTGACTGGTCTCATTTGAAATTCATGACAACTAACTGTAAGTGGGCCGGGCAGTCCTACTGCCTTCCCCTAATTAATTCACATCCCCACTTTCTATAAAATTATTTCACACCCTCTCCTGGCCTTTCAAATCTCCAGTGCTGCTTCTCTTTTTTCATCTTAATTGATGCAGCAAGGAATTTAGCTGATGAGGAAATTAGGAGCAATCAGAGAAGTTTTACAAGATCCCACCTACCTGCATCCATATTCTTCACCCCCTCTCCTCTTTCTATAGACAAACTGTCTTTACTCCCGTCTAAGGCCAGCCCCTCCAGTGCTTCTCGTACTGCTACTTAACAATATGAGTCCCAGGTTTCCCTCTTTCCCCTGTATCGTCAAATATTCTTTCTCTACGGGACCACTTCTATTCGCATGCAAGCATCCTGTAATGTGACATATCTTAAAAATTAAATCTAACCTTATTCTACCCACACTCCATTTCTGTGCTGTCTTTTATAGCAAAATTCCTCAAAAAGTGATTTAAACTCATTCATCACTCATTCCGTAATATGTGCTGAGTTTTTGTATTTGCCAGGCACTTTCCTGGTGCCAAGGTCACAGCAATGAGGAAAACAGAAACATCTTTCTTCTAATGGAGGTTATATACTAGTGGGGGGAAACAACAAATAAGTAAAAATATAGTGTGTAAGATGGGTGACAGGTGCCAACGGGAAAAATAAAGCAAGGAAGGGGACCCAGAAGTGCCAGAGTCGGAGATGGCTGTTTTACATAAGGTGGTCAAGGTTGGACCTACTGAGAACATGGTATTTGAGCAAAGGCCTGGAGGGGATAAAGGAGTGAGCCTTCTGGCACTAGAGTGTTCCAGATGGAAGGAACAGCAAGTGCAAAGGTCCTAACAGTGTGCCTGGTGTTGT